TCTACATCTCTGATTTACCTGCCACATTAAATTTGTCATTCTCAATTTCCCATTTGCCTACTTTGAATGTTTATAGAGTTATCACTGGTTTTGTGCCTGACCAGTGATGCTGCAAGGATATTGAACTACTGGTTTAATCTTGACACTGTAATTGATAATTTCACTGCCAATTGGACCACTTACCTGAACCCATTTCCAGTGGCACACTCTGATCAGATGGCTTGATCAGTCAGTGCATGTGGGGAGATGTCTGCTCCCCCACAGGTCTGAGGCTCCTAAAAGATTTGCAATGTTTCCATGCCCTTGGCACCTAATGATGCTATCTGCTGGCACCTCCATATTGTGTAAATCAATTCTTGGTACAGAGTTTATCCCCTTGCAAGTCAAGCTCATTCAATGTTTTGATTAAATTTTATTATCCAAAAGACATAGGATAGACACTATACCTGAAGTTTGGCTAAGAAATTAAAAATATTTTGTGCTCTGTTTTAAACACTTTGGTTCCTGCCTACACTAACCATGGATCCCCAACTGCTCTATTTGTTTCACATTTCCTGAGTTGCTGTCTATTAAATGGATCCTATCATTCAGGTTTTCTCACCAGGAAGCCCAAGTGGACCCAGATGGGCCACCTTGCTCCCATTTCCACAAGCTGGTTTGTATGTTTGTTTGTATCTCTCTCCCTCCTTATCATGGGCACATCTCTTAATCAAGTGTCTAACAGAAAGCTTATCTAATATTACAGCTACCTGTGTGTGTCCTCTCCTGAACTGTGACACAGACACAGCTAATGATAGCCTGGGTGTGCTGAATTGTCTCTAAAGGCCATTCCATCCCTGTCCAGCAGTAAAGATGTCAAGGAGAAAAAAACCCTATAACACAAACAGATAGAAAGAACATAGGCATCTTCAGCCTCAGCTAGAACAGCCATTGTTTTCACTGAAAAAGGGGCTCAAGATCATAATTTCTGATAACTGGAAGTAGCGTTCATTGAAAGAAACATGGCAATGACCTTCCTGTTAAATTACACTACTACAGCTGCTGCACAAAAACATGAGTTGGGTGTTGAAATATCATGCAACTAGCTTGGGTGTGAAAAGCTGTTGAGATGTTCTTCATAATTTGTTTTCCAGAGTTTTGTCTGGGTTAATTTTGAGGGTTAGAAAAAATAATCATTATGAGGCTTAGATTTTTAGGTAGATACTTCAGGAGAACCTGGTACGCTGAAATGTGTTGGATACAGAAAAATTTAATCAAGGGGCTGGGGTTTTAAAATTTTTATGTATGGTAATTAATTTTATATTTCATGGACCTGATTTGATTGTATCTCATGAATATTGTGAAGAGTTGGGAAGAAACCAAATTTAACAGAACCTGTGATATGACTTTTTATTCCTAGAACAGATTATTTTAGTCTCTATTTTTCCTGTAGCGTATTTGCTTTTTACCCATGCAGTATTCTAAATTTCATCTGCTGCTTTTACATTTAATATGTATCTTGTATTGCAGAATCTTTGACTAATGCTAGAAATTCAAGAAAGCTAAAACACTATTAAATGAGTGCCTGGGTTTATTTGCCATGGTAGGTCTATGAGCAATACCCTATGGCTAATGTACAATAGCAGCCACAGGACTGCAGCTATGGTGCATCACATTTAAATGTTCTAGCACCAGCAGCTCTAGGAGGGCTTTGGCTGGAAGCTGTCTGCACCTGACAGCACAGAAAGAATAAATACAGCAATTCAGAAGCCTGTACAGACTTAGGATTGCAACAGTGCTCAATTAAGGCTGACACCTCCCAGAACAGAGCAACCACAAGATCATGGGAACATAAATCATAGTCTTCATTGATGCACAGTCATACAGCTGTAATTGCTTAGTATACTTAGCATGCACAATGCAGTGGGCTTGTTCTGAAGACTAAAAGCTTCTTTTATGATTCATTTTTTGGCAAAGGATATTGCCTGTAGCCTGATATTTGGAGGAAGACTGCCAGGGTGTAGCACAGCTCAACTCAGTGTACAGAAGGTCTGTTACAATTGCTCCATTTCTATTGTTTTGATGTTTTTCCAGCTGGGTGGATGCCATTACAATCAAGTGACAGTGTCATAAGCTTAAAGCCCTTTGCAGTTCTGGACTTCCCCAATTCAATTCTCAACAAATTGCAGCTGAGTAGTGCACTCCAGTTCATCAGGAGTGAAGTTGAGCTGCACGTGGGCTGGTTGGTAATTGAAAATAACTGACCAATTATCCACATCCCTGTGGGGGGCTGAAAGTGTCACTGTCACTAAGCACACCCAGTGAGCTGGGCTTTCAGATATACCTGACTGCAGGACAAGGCCATTCACCCATTTGTCTCTTGAATTTGCAGGAGCTTTACAACCACTCTTTGTGTTTTTCCCCTTTTGATGGAAAAAACCAGGAGACAAGGAGGAATAAAACAACCTTCAACTTATGGAAGCTGCCATCAACTGAAGAGAAATGCAATAAATAACTTGTTAGTACTTCTCCAGCAGAAGAAATGTGGCAGGTTTTATATTTTAACAGCAAAATTAAACCATCAGATTTGCTATTCCCTACAAAAATCCCTGACCATGCAATGCTAGTTATTTTGTTTCTTTGTGCTGGAGTGTGATTAAAAAATTTAGAAATTAGTAAATCTAATTATGATTCCATATGTGAACAGGTCAAAGATCCTAACACAACAAAAGGCTGCAATTCTTGATTTGGAAAGGTGTGAGATTGCTTTATGGTAAAAAAAAAAAAGGAATTTAAAAATAAGCAAATAAAAAATTAAAAAAAAACACAGAAAGAATAGACACAAGTAGGATTCAATAGCCATACTGCAACTAGCACAAGAATCACTGAGGACTAGTTTCAATATAAAAGAAAGCCGGACACTTTGAAACTGAGATGTAAAGTGCTCAGAGTTTGAAGGGAAGGTTCCCACATCTGCTTCCCAAATATCCAAGCTATAATAAAAAGCATTTTGCAAGAAAAAAGCATTTTGTTTTTTGAAACATTATGCAAATGGCAGAGAAAAAGTTTCCAAATGACCATTATTTAATTCTGCATCTCAAATTACTCAAAAAAATTGCACAGGCTGAATTAGGAGCTGAAGTCCAAAGACACAGAGGAGGCAGAAACTCACCTACTCACATGCAGAACAGTCCCACCAAAGTGATCAGGATTCAGGTTTTCCTAGAAAGGGTCATGATTTACAGAGCTGTCAAAATTTCTAACTGACTACTTAAGGCTACAAAAATGTGCCTCTGGTCTGATGATTTTGGAGTCCCAGCACTCAGTTATAAAACCTGCTTGTATCCTCAGGAAGGCATGGAGGGACATGCTATTTCTACACATTAGTAACATACCAACCAGTAACATAACAACCTTAGAAATTTGTGATATTGAGCATGGAAACCAATATTTTCAATATCTTTCCTCTTACCAAGAGGTTGGTTATAAAAAAAAAATTGCCCAAAATAGGAGGAACTAAAAAGAAATCCCCCAAGTCACAGCTCTGTGGATGGAGTATGTGGAGTTTTGTAGCAATGGTAACTGGGAATTAAGAGCCACACACTGGTCTTCAATTCCTGATTTTGCTCCCCTGCTTTAAATTCAACCCTTGCACTCCAGGCTTTTCTGCACCAAGTTCTTTACTGCTCTGGTTCCTAACACCAATCCCCAGGGTAGGCTTGGGGAACCTCACCTTCCAGTACTTTTAACACATTCATCATGTGTGCACCACTTTTTGGTGCCTGATTTAGCCTATGTGCTCTCTGAGCCCAAACAGCCCATACCAGTACTAGCAGGTATGAGACAGAGCTCCACAATTCTGCCCAGAAGTTAGGGGAATGCCCAGGGAACAAGCTGGGTAATTACTCCTCCCTGGAGAATACCTTATGTTCTCAATATCAGGAATCTACCTGAAGGAAATTAAAGCTAATTAATTTTGCTCCTTTAGATTTCTTGCTCCTTGAGAGCTTCACCCACAGGGAACTGACAAGTCCCAGATTTGTAGAGCCACAAGCAGATTTTTTTAAGTTCTAGCAGGTGTTGAAACCAGAAAAAAACAGGATTACACTCATGAACACCATTTTAAAAATCCAGTATCTCTCAGCTCCTCTCTCAAGAGCACCAAAAATTCTTTGCCTTTAAGATTAAAAATTAAATTAAAATTAGTGCTTGTATTTCTATGGCAAGATGTAAATTTATCCATAAGACTCTCGTGCTGACAGTAGGAGGACTTCACTTGCACACTCTATCTAGTCACATCCCTCAAGTCCACATGGGCCATGTAATGGAGGATGAAAAGCTGAGCAGTCTTCCCCAGCCCACCTGCACCCATCTCTTCCATGATGTCTCATTATTTTATCAGGCATCCCTGACCTCCATCAAGAGCTCCTGCATCAGGAAAACCTCATTATGCCAGAAGCCATAGGATACCATAGGCAGACATAAAAAGCAGAGGAAAGCAGTGCAAGTTTCTCCTCTAGAGAAAGCCCTTTATGTTGAGAGCAGACTGTTAGCACAATGAATCCTCCTGGTGGATAAGCTAGAGAAGCTTGCCCAGTAACAACGTGTAAGGCTCCTCCTGAATAAATAGAGAAACTGGCAAAAGGAGTTCTCTCAAGTCTGATTGAGATGAAGCTAAGTCCTCATGGCAAACAAAACTCGATATATAGCAGCTGGCTGGGGCTGAGGAAGGAATTACCTCCTGTGGAGGTCATGGCTACCCCTAGGGCAAGCAAAGTGAGTAAGGTGGAAAGTGGTTGTAACAGGTGTCAACACACCTGTGCAATTGTTTCAGCTGAAGTCTCTTAACAAAGCAATTAATTTCAAGGGCAAGTCATGTTTTCAGTTAAAAAGAAATAAACATATCACAGAGAGTGCTGATTTTAACATTTAATTTTTTTAATCTCCAGTTACCATTTTTTTCTACAAACAGACTTTGTTTAACAATAATTCAAGAGGTATTATAATGCTAACTACAGCTTAAAGGAAACATTTTGTCACAAGACAATAACAAAATAAACATAATAAATAACCTGCTTTACATATGCTGAAGAAAACAAAACCAACATGCAATAAACTTAATACAATTCACACTCTGTACAACAGCTCAAGGTAGACCTTACTAAACAGCACTCATGTCCTATCAGTAACATACACATATTAGTAAAAATAGAAACTTCAACAAAATGCTTAACTCAAGCAAACCAGCGATGCAATATGAATCAACTCAAGAAGTTCATGGTTCCAAAGAAGCCAGAGTTGGCAGTGGGTGAGCACACAGCAGTGTACAAACCACCTCAGCCAGAAGCCTCTGCCTAGTTCTTCTTCAGCCACGTCTGTGTTTAGCTCCTTGCTGGAAACTGCGTCAGGCTGACATCCTCCTGAGCCTGTGGCTGTTAAAAGGAAGAGAGAACACACATAAATAATGACCTCAATTACAGTTTTCTCTTCTCCCCTGAGAGAACAGCTCAGGTGGAAGAAGGGGCATGTATCATGACTGTCTCTGAGAGGACTCCAGAAAGGAGTAGCTAAGTCTGACAGAAGATGGAAAGAGATGGATTCCTACCTCAGGAAAAGGAGATGTTTCTTCACCCAGCCTTCCTTAGGATTTACACAGGCATTCAGCCCACTGGCAGTGTGGAAACTGGAAAAGAAATAATGATAAAGAAATCAGAAATCCCTGCCAAACAGTGCTGTGTGGAGTACAGTTACTCTATATAATGACCAATAGAAACTGCTTTTGTAAACACCAGCTAGACACGGATGCTCCAAATCCCTCCAATATTATATGAAGAAAAAGAAAGTTAAATGTAATAGCTACTTCAGTCTCAGGGATCAATTTTGCACCATAAAATGTTGTTCAAGTTATTTGGTCTGTTTAGGCAAAGACCTTTGCTGGATGCTAGAAACAGCTGGTAAAATTGAGAATAGGTGCTGTCAAGCTAAGGTGACAGATCAACATCTAGGCCAAAACCTTGTAAGTAAAACATCTGATCCCTGTGAATTAGAAGAAATATTGTCACTTATGTATCTGTTTACAGGTTTTGGCAAGGGAGCACTCTGTGTTGGCCAGAATAGCCCTTAGCTGGAGACAAAACCTGTCCTTGTTTGCACAGCTGATTTCTAAAGAGTCAGATTTATTATTTACATTGTATGACTATCCCTTGGGTTAGCAGTCCGTATCAGCTAGAGGTTGTGGGTTTTGTTTACAGGTGTGATATACAATTTCTTCAGTTAATTTAACTTTTTGAAAAGGCAGGAAAAATCTCTCTTATAACATTCAAATCCTTGGTTTAGCCCAAACAGACATCCCAAGATTAATACATGTCAGAAAATACTGCAGAGATTCAGAAAGTAACTTACATGATGGCAGGGATGTCGCAGACCTCACTGGGGAGCTGTTCAGTGTAACCCTTCAGGACCCACTTAGGCAGACGCACTTTGGTGTAGGACAGGCAGCAATCCTGGTTGCTTTGTGCTGGAATGAAGAACAACAACAAGGTAAATAAACTCCATTTGGCCCTGCTGTTTAGGTCACTCTCTGCTCAACCCCAGCCATCCAGCTCACCCATGACAGAAGAGGGGGATGAGACAGGAGACAGCACACTTTGCTGAAACCATTCCCTTCCAGCTCAGCCCCTCACTGCTGCCAGCTGTGAGCTGCAGCAGGAGCAGGAGCCCTCCCCAGAGCAGAGCTCCCGAGGTCACTCACCTTCCGAGGTGCCGCACAGGAGCAGCGCCAGGAGCCCCAGCAGGGACACCGGGACCATGCTCTTGCTGCTGCGGCCACTCATTCCCTCTGCACACACAGCTGTGCTCCAGCGAGTGCCTGGCTGTGCCTGCTGCTCCTGCCAGCCCTGCCGCACCTCCACCTGCTTATAAAGCAGGAGCCCGGGAATTCACCCACGGGCGGGTTCCACTGTCATCAGCGGGTTTCCCCACGGCGAATTCCATCTCGCCCGATTTGGCCCCGGCTCTCCTTCCGGGTGCTACAAACGGAGATAACAGTGTGCTGGGGAATATTCTAATGGTGTTTTTTAACCAAGTCACTTAAAAGATTCGGTCTGAAAGAAAAGGAAATAAAAGGCTGTGAGGTAATGGTTCTGTGGGTGAAGCGTGTATAGTTTTAGGGGTAGGAGTGTGGGTTGTGAAATGAGGAAAGTCAATGTAGGTAACTTTAAATATTACCTACAGAAACTGTGTGTCTGCTGTGCTCTAGTTTAATGAACTCAGCCTGGGAGCAGGGGCAGGTGGGCTGAGCCAGCCAGATTCATTTCAGTGTGCCAAGGAGCTGGGTCACAAGCTGCACCAACACCAAAGTGCTACATTAATATTTCCTGGTTGGCCCACACCGTAACATCGGACTTTCCAGATTACTGTTTCTGAGCTCTGGACTGTAGTATTGGCAGGGACACACGAGCAGCATTGAGTATTCATGGAAATGGGGTTTTCTCGTTTCCTTAACCATATATTCCTTGCCATGACTTCCTGCCAGCTTGTTACATGTCTGAACTATTTCATCTGCAACAGAGTGAGCTTAAAAGAAACTTGAAATGGGGCCTATATTCTCCAAATCTGTGTTTTCTAGAATGCATTCATGTGCTTCATAAACAATAGCTGTAGTTTGTTGCTTTCCCAAACTGTACCAGAGTATTGTAACTCCTGAACATTCAACAAAAATACACTCAATCTTACAATTGCCTCGCACAGCTCTAGAGAAACCACCAGGGAGAGGCTCTGTCACCACTCCAAGTACATTGTTGGAGCCACTACTCAAGGATGGAACTTTCCCATGCTGTTCAGGGATCTTTGTGAAACTACTGTGATGGCTGCAGGCCATGTCCTGCCAGCCAGTGCTCACAGGAGCTGCTGCCAGCTCCAGGTGCTTATAGAGTAACCTGAGCTTAAGTGTTTAAGCTCTCTCTCAAGGTAGAGTCAATGGACAGTCATGGGCAGTGCATAATTACATGCCTTCTATGCTTCACAGGGTGCCAGTACCTCTCTCAAAGGGTGATTTGTATAAATAGAAATAGCTTGAACTCTAGAACAGACTGTTATTCAGAGAAATTAATTTCTCTATGTAGTAGTGAGAATTGAGGGAATTTCATATGAAATTTCATATACATGAGCAACCTTGAAGTGTGCATGGCATCACATATACTGGACATGCTTCTCTGCAGAGCCACAGCAACTGGCCAAAGGATGGGGAGGAGGCAACAAAGAACCCATGCCCTAATGAATGCAGCTTTTTGTGACTGTTTTATGGATCATAGTGAAATACTCTCAGTATGCAGCTGTCTCTGCCCTGCTTTAAAGACTGTCAGCATTAGGCAATGCCTGAAACTAGCTGACTAGAATGGTAGATTTTTTCTTTTACATACAGGTTTCATGGATCCCAAGTCTATTATACCTATGCCCAGCTTTGGCATTTCATATACCATTCCCTAGGCCATGCTGTTATCCATATGGAGGTGGCCTTGCACCTCATGCCTTCCTACAGCTCTACTTCTTCTTCACTGAGTGCTTCTTGGACAGAATCTTCTCATCTGAGCTTTGACACTTCTACCTAAGCCCCAGCAGTTTGGATACCAGGGCAACGACACTCCTCAGACAGCACTCACCCCATAGTCCTGCCCTCAGGCAGTTCCATCACAGCTGTGGTTCCCACAACTGACCCGTCCTGGCTTAAGGCATTTTCCATCATACCAGTAGTTCCCACAACTGAGCGTGGCTGGCCATGTGCCTTGTCACAGCTGGACACGTGCTCATTTTAAAAGGTGTTCCTTTTATCTCATTTTTTGTTTGATTTAGGAAATTAGGTTAAGATTTAGATTTGGAACAACAGCCACAAGGAGGGCCCCAACTTCAGGAGCGCTGTCATTTTGTTTGTACTTGGTGTATACAAAGTACCTTCAGTTTATTTGCACAAAGTAGTTAAAACAATCCAAAAAGGTTTAATGCAAACAGCTGAAGAAAGTTCTGCTGGTTGTGATATGACACATAACTGTGTCTTATCAGTCTTTACCTTCACAAACCCCTAATGGAAACAGAAGGCAAAAAATACATAAAAACAAGGAGGTGCTTATATTTGTTTTTCTTTATTCCCTGGGAGTGAGGGGACAGTTACTGTTGTCCACCCTGACCCAACCAAACTTTCAACTTGGTTTCCTTTGGCACCTGTGTGACCAAGTGAGGCCATGTGGGCTGGCCAGGGACTGCCACACAGCCAAGAGATGAGGCTGCCAGGCCCCAGGGTGGCCAGTGGCACCTCCAAACCTGTTCCTGGCTCAGTTGCAGGTGCCATATAAATGTGTTCAGTGTCTTAACACTACTGCAGTTCAAAAGCTACACCTTGAGGGGGCCACCAGGTCAAGGGAAGCCATCGTTTCTCTGCCCTGGGGCCTGTGTAGGGAGGTCTCCTCAGAGGGCACAGCCAAAGCATGACAGGTATCAGCCACAAGCTGTGAAAAGAGAAACTCCCATCAGACATAGAGAAGCCACAGCAAGGGAATGAGGCACTGGGACAGGTTGCCCAGGATGGGAAAGCCTTGTTTGAACAGCCCTGCAGATACTCAAGCTGGATGTGGTCTTTCCCTGAACATGATCTTAAACTTGGGTTCCTTCCCAAGCCACAATCACCCCTAAATTATTTTTCTGGGTTTTTCACATTTAGCTGTTTGTTTCTTATTTTAGTTCCCTGACTTATTTTTCTTCCTGATTTGACTTTGCTGTAAGCTTCTCAGCTTCCCTTCCTCCTGTTGTCCATCCTCAGATCCCCTCACAATAACTGCACACACAGTAAGGCAGAGCAGCAAAACACAGACTGACAGTGTTCATCCTCTCCTAAGCTTCCTCTCCCGTTGTTCCAGGGGCCAGAGAAAGCAGGCTCAAACCCCTCCTGTGTGTCTAACAGCAAAGACAGCCTAGGTGCCAGTGCTACAGTCAGACCTGTGGAAGAAATGCATTAGGGAAAACTGAGCCTTTTCCCAAGTAATACTGGGGAACTGACAGTTCTGAGAAGCTTGGGGATGTTAAAGAGGAGAGCTGGGGCGTCAAACTGCTCTCAGACACCATCTGCAAAGCTACAGCCAGAGGCAACTTTCTCTGGTCACCAAGCTGCTGCATCCTGATAATAAACTTCCTCTTTCATATCCCAAAGAACTTTTACTCACAGAAATATTTGCTGAAAGTCTGAAGTGCTGAAGAGGGCTTAATAGTTCAACCTTGATAAACACCTCCATACAGGGCAAAAAATTTGTTGGGGAGGGGATGGGTTTACCACATCATTCTCCTCATTACAGAAAAGCACAGGAGCAGTCTGCCTGGTTTTCATGCAAGGGTTAAAATACTTCCTGGACTTTTGAAGAGAAAGACAGAGAAGGAATTTTATAATCATTAACCATTTGATTATTGTCACTTTATGGGCTTAGGTCTGACATTAAAGATGAAAGACTAAAATAAAGAACTTGAATGTCAGCCACTGTTAGTATCTTTACCTGTGCCCTACAATAAGATGAGAAACATACTGCCAGTTGTTAATGAGCTAGCAGATAACAAGTTTCCATGTTTTTCATCCTCACAAAGAGATATTGTTTTATTGCTTATTAGTACCTTTTCTGAATTGATGTAAATAAAACTGTACAGCAATACTGCTGATCATCCAGGAAACCCAGAACCAGATGGGGGAAATTCCCTTCTGTAATTTCCAGAGGTTTAGGGCTCCTTTGATAAAGCAAAGTGCATGAGAAGGCAGTAGCCGGAAGGAATGTGGCCAAATACAGGGATTTAATCATTGCATAATCTCTGATGAGTAAATGCATAATAAGCACCGAGCACAAAAGTTCCAGAGGTAGCTTGCTCAATATCTCTGGAGCTGTAGAGGCTGTGATGCAACCCAGTGATTTCAGGCAATTCAGTACCTGCATGACTGACAAAAGTTATCTGAGGAAGAAGCCAATTTTCACTAATTAGAGGTTGCACTTCGTATGTTACAGATCTAGAAATACCATTGAATGACATTGCTTTGATGCAATTATGGACAAGATCTGCGCCTGTTGGGAGAAATTAACTTCCCATCTATCGAAAGTGCAGGTTATGAGCAGACCTGGTGCACCTGACATGAGCATCCTGGCAGCATCCCAGCACTGCTGATTGCCTCCTGCTACCTACATGCAGAAGCTAAATATCTAATGTTCTGAAGGAAGATTTCTCCCTGCAAAGTTAACTCTCCTCTGTCTACAGTCCCTTGGGGTAGCCGACCACCTTTTCACAGAAAGGGACCTCTCAAATGTGATGGCAAAGCCTATAACTGGAAAGAACAATGAAAAAAAGTCTTCATTGGATTTGTGTGGCAGGGTTTTGGGTAGGCACAGGGTTTTGGGTAGGCACTGGTGGTGGATTCTCTGCTAGAATCTTCTCCCATGTCTGGCAGAGCCAATGCCAGCTGGCTCCAAGGAAGGGCTCCGTGGACAAGGTTGAGCCCATCACTGACAGTGGTATCATCTGTGGGATAATGTATTTAGGAAGGGGAAAAAACCCTGTGCAACTGCAGTCAGAGAAAAGAATGAGTATATGGGGGATAGATGTTTGAAACCACTCTGCAGACCCCAAGTGCAGTGCAGAAGGAGGGGCAGGACCACGCCAGGTGGAGCCAAAATCCACAGCCTGAATGCAAAAATGCCTTCTGATACCGATAAAATGAGGGCTTGCACTTTAAAAATGTTTAATTCGGAAAGAGGAGCAAAAGATACTGTGCCTTGGCAATTATCAAAGAGAAATATGTGACATTTTCTGA